TGAAATATTTTCAAAGGGATTTTATTCATCTGAAGTAATTTGTAGCGGAACTGTCTTGTTTTGTGGAAAGTTTGACACGCTTCACCCGGTCACGCTAATATCGGGGTTTAAATAACATAACGTGTTTTTAAAAAAAGGCCTTCTCTCCAAGTGTTTGAGGAAATTTGCCTACAATTTATTTGATAGCTGAAAATTTTACAAACCAGGTTCTTAAATTCCCAACAGGGGTAAAAAATGGTCGTCAGATTTACCATCAGGTGTTAAAAGAAGAAAAACGGAGAGGTCATTAATTTCCGCGATATGCCGACACCATATACAAATGCAGTATTCGCAGACATACCTTTGTAATGGGGGAATTCGTAAAATCCCTTCCCTCCCCTCATCTAGAGGAGATCCTGATAGATGAAAACACGATATAAGTAGATAGGATAACAAAATAATAACCATCGCCTTGGAATATTACGTTCATGATGTGCGACTTTTCAAATACCTTTTTTCATTACATACATGATCGCAAACAACAGATTCTTCTTATAATACCGTTTAAAAAAAGTTTGTTATGTATTAGACTGTAAATATTCTATGTATTTCATAAAACTCGTATGTTTATATTTTATGTATTAACCTAGTACGATAATACACCAACGGCAGTCTGTACTTATTAAGAAGAAGAACCTATGCATATAATGCAACGATTTAGATTGAATTGAAATGTATTAACAAAAAAATACATGTATATACAGTGTATCTCAAACAAGAGATTCTTCTTATGATACCGTTTAAAATAAGTTTGTTCGTTCTGTATTAACTATTATATGTATTTCATAAAACTCGTATGTTCATAATTATGTTATGTATTAACCTAGTAAGATAATACGCCAACGGCAGTCTGTACTTAACTGGAAGAAGAAGAACCTATGCATATAATGCAACGAATTAGATTAAATTGAAATGTAATACAAAAAAAAAAAAAAAGTATATTCAGTGTATCGCAAACAAGAGATTCTTCTTATGATTCCGTTTAAAATAAGTTTGTTCGTTCTGTATTAACTATTATATGTATTTCATAAAACTCGTATGTTCATATGTTATGTATTAACCTAGTAAGATAATACGCCAACGGCAGTCTGTACTTAACTGGAAGAAGAAGAACCTATGCATATAATGTAACGAATTAGATTGAATTGAAATGTAATGTAATAAAAACAATACATGTATATACAGTGTATCGCAAACAAGAGATTCTTCTTATGATACCGTTTAAAATAAGTTTGTTCGTTCTGTATTAAGTATTATATGTATTTCATAAAACTCGTATGTTCATATGTTATGTATTAACCTAGTAAGATAATACGCCAACGGCAGTCTGTACTTATTAAGAAGAAGAACCTATGCATATAATGCAACGATTTAGATTGAATTGAAATGTATTAACAAAAAAATACATGTATATACAGTGTATCGCAAACAAGAGATTCTTCTTATGATACCGTTTAAAATAAGTTTGTTCGTTCTGTATTAGACTGTAACTATTATATGTATTTCATAAAACTCGTATGTTCATATGTTATGTATTAACCTAGTAAGATAATACGTCAACGGCAGTCTGTACTTAACTGGAAGAAGAAGAACCTATGCATATAATGCAACGAATTAGATTGAATTGAAATGTAATTTAAAAAAAATACATTTATATACAGTGTATCGCAAACAAGATATTCTTCTTATGATACCGTTTAAAATAAGTTTGTTCGTTCTGTATTAACTATTATATGTATTTCATAAAACTCGTATGTTCATATGTTATGTATTAACCTAGTAAGATAATACGCCAACGGCAGTCTGTACTTAACTGGAAGAAGAAGAACCTATGCATATAATTCAACGAATTAGATTGAATTGAAATGTAATTTAAAAAAATACATGTATATACAGTGTATCGCAAACAAGATATTCTTCTTATGATACCATTTAAAATAAGTTTGTTCGTTCTGTATTAACTATTATATGTATTTCATAAAACTCGTATGTTCATATGTTATGTATTAACCTAGTAAGATAATACGCCAACGGCAGTCTGTACTTAACTGGAAGAAGAAGAACCTATGCATATAATGCAACGAATTAGATTGAATTGAAATGTAATTAAAAAAAAATACATGTATATACAGTGTATCGCAAACAAGATATTCTTCTTATGATACCATTTAAAATAAGTTTGTTCGTTCTGTAATAACTATTATATGTACTTCATAAAACTCGTATGTTCATATGTTATGTATTAACCTAGTAAGATAATACGCCAACGGCAGTCTGTACTTAACTGGAAGAAGAAGAACCTATGCATATAATGCAACGAATTAGATTGAATTGAAATGTAATAAAAAAAAAAAATACATGTATATACAGTGTATCGCAAACAAGAGATTCTTCTTATGATACCGTTTACAATAAGTTTGTTTGTTCTGTATTAACTATTATATGTATTTCATAAAACTCGTATGTTCATATGTTATGTATTAACCTAGTAAGATAATACGTCAACGGCAGTCTGTACTTAACTGGAAGAGAAGAACCTATGCATATAATGCAACAAATTAGATTGGATTGAAATGTATTAACAAAAAAATACATGTATATACAGTGTATCGCAAACAAGAGATTCTTTTTATGATACCGTTTAAAATAAGTTTGTTCGTTCTGTATTAACTATTATATGTATTTCATAAAACTCGTATGTTCATATGTTATGTATTAACCTAGTAAGATAATACGCCAACGGCAGTCTGTACTTAACTGGAAGAAGAAGAACCTATGCATATAATTCAACGAATTAGATTGAATTGAAATGTAATTTTTAAAAAATACATGTATATACAATGTATCGCAAACAAGATATTCTTCTTATGATACCGTTTAAAATAAGTTCGTTCGTTCTGTATTAACTATTATATGTATTTCATAAAACTCGTATGTTCATATGTTATGTATTAAAGAGGCATGTTCCCCGTATTCCAGAGGGCGTTCAAAATACGTACCCGCTGGCGGACGGTGCTAGCTGCCTATTGACACCAACAGAATACGGCTCTTACGCAGATGGCATGTTCCGAATGCCCGGACAATACCGATTATCGCATACATGTGCCGAAGTAATGCCAATCGCAGTTCGGCTCTAAGATTCGGCTGTTGTTTCCGCCCACTTTCGTGACGTCGCGATCGTCAGCGATCAGCTGGCTTGGCGAAGGCAGGCCAGGCCGCGCGTACTTTGATTGACAGCTGTATGTAAATTAGAAGTCGATCTTCGGAACCAAGATGGCGATGACTAGAGCAGCGATAACTACACTGGCGGGAACGTGCCACTTTAACCTAGTAAGATAATACGGCAACGGCAGTCTGTACTTAACTGGAAGAAGAAGAACCTATGCATATAATGCAACGAATTAGATTAAATTGAAATGTAATTTAAAAAAATACATGTATATTCAGTGTATCGCAAACAAGAGATTCTTCTTATGATTCCGTTTACAATAAGTTTGTTCGTTCTGTATTAACTATTATATGTAGTTCATAAAACTCGTATGTTCATATGTTATGTATTAACCTAGTATTAAAGATAATACGCCAACGGCAGTCTGTACTTAACTGGAAGAAGAAGAACCTATGCATATAATGCAACGAATTAGATTAAATTGAAATGTAATACAAAAAAAATACATGTATATTCAGTGTATCGCAAACAAGAGATTCTTCTTATGATTCCGTTTAAAATAAGTTTGTTCGTTCTGTATTAACTATTATATGTATTTCATAAAACTCGTATGTTCATATGTTATGTATTGACCTAGTAAGATAATACGCCAACGGCAGTCTGTACTTAACTGGAAGAAGAAGAACCTACGCATATAATGCAACGAATTAGATTGAATTGAAATGTAATAAAAAAAAAATACATGTATATACAGTGTATCGCAAACAAGAGATTCTTCTTATGATACCGTTTAAAATAAGTTTGTTCGTTCTGTATTAACTATTATATGTACTTCATAAAACTCTTATGTTCATATGTTATGTATTAACCTAGTAAGATAATACGCCAACGGCAGTCTGTACTTAACTGGAAGAAGAAGAACCTATGCATATAATGCAACGAATTAGATTAAATTGAAATGTAATAAAAAAATACATGTATATGCAGTGTATGTCTGTAATCACGAAATTTCGTGACTGAACTTTTACGAAAATAAATTCTCTGTGCTCTCGAAATAGCATGGAAAAATTATTTGTACACAACAATGAAATGATTTCAAAGAGATTTTATTCATTGGGTAGCGAAACTGTCTTGTTTTGCAAAAACTGACACGCTTCACCTTCACGCTAATATCGGGTCGGGTTTTAATTATATTAAAAGCCTTCTTTCCCAATGCCAATAACTTTTGAATGTATTAAAGAGCGTACAGAAGTCATATGATGTGGGCAGGTTTAAAAACCCATCTGTTGCTGAAGAATTCCAAGCCCGAATTGGTGGAGCGTTTGAACCATTGTTGCTGCTGGAAGATACAGACATAGATGAGCTCTGGTTGAAGTTCATGAATACAACCAACGAGATTACCAAGCAAGTTGTTGGCATCAGGAGAGGGAAACAAGTGAAACATTTCCCAGAACATGTGAGAGATGCTTGTGAACTCAGAAGGAAGGCTAGGGTAACTAAACTGAACTCACCTCATAATAATCATAATATTATGAAGTACCGGCGTCTTAACAAAAAAGTTAAATATGAAGTCAAAAAGTGGAAGAGGGAGACTCTCAAGAAAGAAGTAGAGGAAATGGAGGCAGCACAGGCACAAAATGACAGCCATGAGCTATTTAAGAAAGTAAGAAACTAGCTGGTGAGAAGGAGAAGATACAGCCAGCAGCCAAGAACAAAGAGGGGGTCCTCAAGACTGCTCCAGGAGATGTTTTGGATTGATGGAAAGAACATTTCAGCACCCATCTTAATACAGAGTTCCCGAGAGACACCAACACACTTCGCAATATACCTGAACCTCCTCCTACTGAAAACCAGACTTCATCTTTTACCATAGAAGAGGTTAAAGCTGCGATCAAGGCTCTAAAGAATAACAAAACATCTGGATTTGATAACATATCAGCTGAAACACTGAAAGCTGGTGGTCCAGCAATGGCACAGATCTTGCTGAAGATCATCAACACTGCTTTTACGCAAGGCAAGACACCAGTTAAGTGGAGCAAAGGCCTTATTACCCCTGTGCACAAAAAGGGGGATAAACAGACCCGGCTAACTACCGAGCCATAACACTGCTATCAGTGCCGGCTAAAGTTTTCTGCAGGATGGTGCTCAGTAGGATCCAAGGGACAATTGAAGAGCATTTATCGGAAGAGCAGTGTGGATTCCGGAGCTCCAGAGGAACCACTGATGCTATTTTCATTGTCAGGCAAGTGCTGGAGAAGGCCAAAGAGAGACACATCCTCATCCATTGGAATTTTGTGGACTTCAAAGCAGCATTCGATACTGTCTGGAGGAATGCTTTATGGAAGTGCCTTCTTTCAATAGGAGTTGAGAAGAACCTGATTGACCTCATTAAGTATATGTATGATCAGACCACATGTGCTGTCATCGTAAATGGTAAAGTTACGGAATGGTTCCAAGTTAAGACAGGCGTCAGGCAAGGCTGTCTTCTTTCCCCAAGTCTATTCAACATCTTCCTAGAGTTCGTGATGGCAGATGTCAAACCTAGACAGTGGAGTACAGATGGGTGGCATACGCTTTAACAACATCCGCTATGCAGATGACACCACTCTACTCGAACTCATCTATGACAAACTCCAAATATCAACAAACAAGCTGGTGGAAGTTTGTGGCAAACGGGGAATGAAAATCAACACAGCTAAATGCAGAATCATGACAATCGATGATGGGGAGACTTCAATAGATGGCAACCCTATAGAGAAGGTAGAAGACTTTGTCTTCCTTGGAAGTGTAGTCCCCTCTGTTACCAAAGATGTCAAGAGACGCACAAATCTAGCTTCCTGGGCATTTGGCAGACTGAGAAACAATATATGGACCAACCAAGATATTTCAAGAGCCCTGAAGGTCAGGATTTATAATGCCCTCATTCGTCCTATAGCTACCTACGGGTCTGAAACGTGGACGCTAAGGAAAACTGACCGGGATAAACTGGAGACCTTTGAGATGAGATGTCTGCGGACAATAGCAGGAGTCCATCTTCTAGATAAAATCAGAAGCGTAGACATCAGAAAGTCATTGAAAATCCCCAAGACAATAAATGAGGAAATATCCAACCGCCGCCTGAAATGGTTTGGACATGTGGTACGTATGCCACAGGAACGCCTACCAATACAAGTCCACACCAATGACTTTACTGTGCCATGGCCTCCAGGACGTCCTCCCCTGAGGTAGAAAGACCAAATCCGCCAAGACTCTGGATTAAGCCTGGAGGCTGCCCAACACCAAGCCCAGGACAGAAATGAATGGAGACAGACCACCCGTTGGAGCGCAAGGGGACACTCCGTCCTGAGCACTTAAGTCAGTAAGTCAAGTCAAGTATTACTCTCATCCATCTGCACAAATCGCTCACAGAATGAAATGGGGAAAAACAAGGGTCCATGTGACGTCCAAACGTTATACGACTTTGTACCTATCTGATCAGTTTGTGCAAGTATGATAAATTGTCCACAAATAGATCAAAGTATACACAATTAATGGTTGTCTGATAATAATTATAATAATTATGAGGGTGATGATGATGGTTAAAGGCGGGAGGTAGGGGGCGGTCGCTCCAAAAATAAAATTCAAACGTGCTTTTTTCTTCTTCTAATTCGATACCAGTGATTTACAAATGTCGCTTAAATGACATAATTTTCCTGGAATTTTTCTCAATTTCTTTTTGTAAATTAAACTTCTGTAGCCCTATGCGTTTGTTGGAAAATTACAAATTCCCAAATTTACAGTCTTGCAAGAAATATGCTTATTTAAAAGCCTTCATGTCAGGGCTTGCAAAACGGCGGGTATCGGGGGCTCGAGCCCCCCTCACGTTTATAAAAAATTATATTAAAGAGAAAAAGAGAATGAATGACCTGCCAGTTTCACCAGTGAGGTATCAACATATGCTCATCTGACTGTAATAAAATGCCTAAAGCCCCTTAGCTTACGGGGGCTCCACCCCTGGACCCCACCAAAGGCCCTAAGGCGGGCCCCTGGATGCTCATCTAACCGTTATTAAATACCTCGAAAACCCTGAGATTCATGGGGCTCAGCCCGCTACACCCCCGCTAATTAGTGACCTGCCAGTGTCACAAATAAGGTATCAAAATATGCGTATATGACCGTAATATAATTCCTATATATTATGCGCAATTTCGGGATTGAAATGACAAAGCTCTTCTGAATCCATTTCGAATGTAAATAATATAATACATACAAGTAATTATGCATTGGTGTTTTATATTATGATTGTGTTTATTTGCAATGAAAATGTAAAATAATTCAAAAATAAAATTCTTAAATTAGTTTGTTAAGTGTGTATTCATTGAATACTGAGAGCATCGAATACGTCGCCACACGCATTGGGCACTTTGGTGGATATGAGTCCTTTACAAGAAATTGACAAATTTTAACAATTTTCATTCCGACCCCTCATCCTATCCTCAGGGGGCACGTTCTCTCCTAATCGAATGGCGAAAATAGAAGACATACCCCCTCCCCATCAAAAGAAGGGAAAAGAGAGGAAAAGAGAGAGAGAGAGAGAGAGAGAGAGAGAGAGCGAGGAGAGAAAGGAAAATGAAGATGTAATGTTAGATAGAAAGCAATAATAAATTATACCACCACTGCCTCTCTTTTGCCCAGTTCTCTCATAACAATTCATTCATCCAGTAAGACCGGTATTAACGCCCTTATCTCTAACGCCCTTGCCTCATCAATAGCCCGAAACACGCAACTCCAATAACTCAGCTTGTTTAAACAAAATGACAATGGCGGTAATCCATGGTTAAGGAGGGACACCCCCCCCCCCCCCATTGAAAAAAGGGAGAGGGGCACATTTTCATCAACCCCACGATTTCTGGTCATTTGTTTTCCAACTATAAATCACTCAAACCAAACTTGAATATCTTATTAAACTTTAAAATCAATTGATTTTTATAAATGAAAATGTTTGGCCCGTCAAAAAAGAGGGGATGCGATGGTTGCACCTCCCTCCCCCTTCGTGGAGTAAAAAACTTCATGATACAAATTGATGACCCCTTTTTTTAATAGCTTTTCCGAAAGAATTGGATGTGTTCCCTTGGCGTTAACGTTAGATTTCTATAGGCCTATATGCACATCGTAATAGGGGGGAACTGTTGTTGATAATAGTGTATTGTCCTATACCTCACTCACACCGACAAACCGACCCCAGACCTACTTCAAACTGCAAACCTGTGTGGATTATGATTGCTTTACAAGGAAGCTACAAATTGTAATAATTTTCATTTCCACCCCCTATACTTGGTATAAATCTATATCCATCTTGAGAACATTAATAGACCTAAACCTAAATCTAAGTGGACTGTTATGGACTTGGATTGTCATGGAGTTTTAATGTAACATGGTAAAAAGTAAGTATATCATTTATCAATTTGGAATATCTTAGAGAAAGTTTTGTCATTCAATGAAAGAACACAGGAAATGGCAAACCTACAAAGTCATGTAGGCATTTCAGATTTACTACCGCTCAAGGACTTTATTTTAAAGGGGGGCACTAATATCCCCCCCCCCCCACTCCGAGAACGGACGGACCCCATGCGTGTTACCAAAATGTCCGGTAAAGGGGTACTTTTCGTGCGACAAAGTCCGGCCCGAGAATTGAAAAAAAAAGGGGTGTATTAACATTTCACCCGAAGATTTCTTTAAAAGGGGGTGTTTATTCTTCTTTTCTCTCATCTCTTTGGACTCCTGAGAAATTATTCCGAATGTAGGGGGTACATTGAGCATTTTTCATGATTGAGGGGGCCTCCAAGGCAGGAAAAGCCCGCTAAAAGCCCGCGAAAGGTGGGTTCGGAAATGTTGGCAGTCCTTAGATAGCGGGTGCTTTCAAAAAGAGGGAACAAGCATTATGCGTACCCTAAATAACACTGAGTGGGGGGGGGGGGCGGGACTGGTATCCGGAGACAGACAGACAGAAAGAGGGGAGGCATCATTCTTCATCGGTGGATTGAGAACAAGCTATATGTGATCATTGAGAGTGGAAGGGAGTGTGATTAATTTAGGACAGAGGTAAATGAATTAAATTTGTGTAGCATTAAAAAAAAAATCATGTTGCGTTTCCCTCTTAATTCCCTCTTTTCACCATTGGGAGGGGGAGGCGTACATGAGCTATATTTTAGCTATACTCTGTGTTGTTTGTGATTATCATCTCAGGCCTAGCTGCTTACAGCATTATTGGAGATATTGTCAACTCAGACTCGGAGATATCATTTTCACTCTCGAATTTGATTCATTTCGTCATTGCATTCAAAGCAATTATCGGGTACATTAAGTGCTGTAACTACTTATTGCCCCGTTATCATCATGTATAAAGAAGTGACTTGCTTGCTGGTAAAACTTGGTGATAAATACTCATGGTAGCAATATTTGACATTGAGGAGTATGGAGAGGGTCAGTCAGATCATTAAACGCAAATAAATTTATATTACTTGTCTGTCACGGTAAACTTTTACAAATATTAATAATTGATTCATTAATAGTTAATATAATAATATCTACGATTAGCTGATTCCTAGAATGATTATAACAGCGTGAAGGTTTTCACAAAGTAACTTACTTTCGATTTGATTAATACTGCTACAATATCAACGTTTAAATTTCTGCCCCAATTAAAAATGTGTTCTCTTTCCTTTGTTTTATAACGTTTTTACCTTTACTTTTAATCTAGTATACTTAGGTGCATGAAGTTATTTTCGAGTGTTGACATTAACTAGAGTATCATTTTCTCCAGTTATCTTACCTTGACATCCACTACAATCTCTATCTGTCTCTCTTGGTGATCTGTATCCAACACCGAGGATTGATTGGGTGGAGTGAACGTGAATTGTATGTGGAAGGTTGGACCACTCACTGATACCTAACCAAGTGTTCTTTTTTGTTGATGGAAAAAGGAGCACCTGTAAAGAGTGAACTTACAAAGAAAGTTAATGCTTTCTTCAAAATCAGTGGAAAACTACCTATTTTGGGTTTTGCTTACACTTGCTGTGTAGCGAGCTTCTTCAGGCCCATGCTGTAGATGGCACTGTTGTTGA